CCCAGGACAGAAGCAACGTGCCCTTGCTCACCAGTTACAAATTCAGACCCCAGGCCCAGCTTCAGAAAGGGCCGTCCACGGATGAGTGGGTCTGGCCCTGCCTTGTCCAGTGGCAGGTGACCAGCCCGCAATTGAGGATTGTGGATTTTACAGACACAGGTGACGAGACGTGGTTCTGTTGAGGGAAAAGGATGTCCTGAGCTAATTCCATATGGGGTTTGCGGACCCCACCCCCACTCCAGACCAAAGCCATCAGGACATTGGGAAAGACAAATCTCATCACCACCAAGGGGAAGGTGCTGGGCCCTGAGGGTGGAGTTAAGCAGCCAGGTTTGGTACAAAACCAGACACGTCGGCCTTGGGGGGCTCCTCTTGGCTTCACAGCTCTTGGCTCTCTGCCAGCTCTCAGCGTGCCATTGGGATTCCAGGTTGGGGGAACAGGTAGGACACATTTAAGACTTTATCTCCCACTTTTCTCCCTGAGTTGTACATTTCCTCATTTCCCCTTCCCTTGGAAATAAACCTTTTATTAATCTTGGTGTGTACCTGCAGTGGAGTATTAGTAAGTCCCTTTTAAGCACACAGGTGAGGACCTAGCAGGGTTGCCCTGTAACAGTTCTACCTTTATTATCAAGTTCATGCTTTCCAGTGTCACGTTTTGAATTTCCTGACTAAATTCCTCTCCTTGATTCCTTTATAAAGCATTCAATTAAGTCACTTAAGTGCAACATTTTCTCTGGTGGCACCATGAAGCAGATGACAAAAGGACGATCTTACTTAGTGTTCCATCAGGGTAAAGGTGGAAGAATATCCTAATATTATACAATCAATAACTGGGGCGCTCACGGGGGCGCCCCCGCCCTCCTGCTGCTGAAGTTTAGAAAATCCAACAGAAACGAGGCGAAGAGCCCACGTCTCTGAAAATACTATGAACCTAAAATTCCCGCAGCCATGAAAACAGCAGGTCGTGTCCACGTGCATCAAAAACAAGCTGGGGAACACTGACCCACGGCCACAGAGGGCCCCCCAAACCCGCTGCCCCCAACAGTGAGAGAAGGGGCGGCCCGCCCCGGCCCCGCCCGCTCCGGCCCCGCCCGCCCCGGCTGCGCCTCCTCATGACGCCCGGCGAGGCCGCATTTCCCCGCCTCGCCACCAGGCGGCGCGCGCCCCCCCTGCGCTTTGCCCCCGGGGCTTCTCCTTCCTGGCCCGCGGGCCCGCTCCGCCGGGGTGGGCGCTCCCGGCTTCCGCATCTCCGCCCTTTCCGCTCCGGCCGCCACTCCCGCGTCAGCGCGCAGTGCCGTGACGTCAACACGCAGGGGGCGGGGCAAAGCCGAGGAAGGAGAGGCGCGGGGGCAAACCAGGGCCGGAGCAGCGGCGCGCGCCACCTGGTGGCGCGGAGGGGCGGGGTGGCCGGCCCGGGGTGCACGCGGGCGGGCCGAGGCCCTAGGGCCGGCGGGAGGGGCGGGTCGGCCGGGCCAGCGGGGGATGCAGCGGGGATGCAGCCCTGGAGGGGCGGGTCGGCCGGGCCAGCGGGGGATGCAGCGGGGATGCAGCCCGGAGTGTCGTGGGGGGAGGCCGCGCAGAGGGGGAGCAGGAAGCGGGAGTGCGTGACGTCAGAGCCTTGAAGCTGGGGAGACAGAATGACGTAGCGGCAAGGACCCGCTGAACTAGGGATTCTCGCTCATTGGGAGAAGAGAACAAGTTGGTGTCGCCTTGTGCGGGGACTCTGGATTTAGAATCTTAGAATTTGAAGTATTTTATATACGTGCATTAAAAGAAATAGTAATTCAGGGGCCTCCGTAGTGGTGCAAGGGGTTAAGCGTCACCACCATGAAGCTGTCCGCAGCATCAGCAGCGCGAGTTCAATCCCCAGCCAGGGAGCTACCCACATGGCGCAGCAGACCCCTCCTGGCTCCCCGCTGCTCCCCTCAGCAGTCTGCTTCAGTGGATCTGCCTGTTCTGCTCCCCACTCTATCTCTGATGAATCTTCTCACATACATCCCACCTCTGGCCTGTACCCCACTTCTTGCATGCATAAATAAATATTTTTAAAAATAGTAATTCCCAGGAATAATAATAATTATTTCCCAGGAAATTATCTAAGGAAATGCTTTGACCACAAATAATCTTTATTTGTAAAAATGCTAACCAGCATTTTCTAATACTAGCAAACACTTGAAAACAATCTAAATTAAAACTCCAGGAAACAGTCAACTATATTCCAAAATTTAGCAATTTGGTACAATAATTCTGAATAGTTTTAAATGACTTGAAAAATACTTATAGTGTTAAAAGGAAGAAATATATGAAATTGTAGACATACTTTTATTCCAGCATGGATAGAAAATATTAACGAAATAACGTACTGTGCACATAGAATGGAATGGAGAAGTTACTTTGCATTAAGTGGAATACTATACAACAGTGAAAATACTGTCTCACATGGATGTCTTCCCTCCATTGCTCTGCATAGACTTCCAGTCCAATACACAGCCAAGAGGGAAACATGAGTTCTGGCCTGGCCCCTGTTTCAGGAGGCCACATTCCTGATGGTAACCTTGAGCCAATGGATGTTGGCTGTTGCTTTAGTAGCATGCCCTGTATCCTGCAGAGGAAACTTTTTCTTTATATATATATAAGAATGACTGATAGAAAGACAGTCAGTAAAAGACTATCACAAAATTGGAAAGAGAAAATAATTACCTGAATGGAATAAGACTTGTTCATGCAGGTGGGGCAGGTGATGGGGCTGAAATGGGCCTGTGGTTTGGGTGAGCATGGGGAAATCATGACAGCTGACTCCCTGAGGGGGAGGTGGTGGCCCCCTGGGATAGTCTGGTGAAATACACAATGAAATGGCATGAAGAAAGCACCATGGAGTGTTGCATCAGGCAATACCACACTGACAAAGAAATGGGAGTCGTGGAGCAAACTTCTGGCAGGATGCTACTGAGAAGGTAGAACCTCACCTTTTATTGAGGACGTTATTATACAGAGTCCATTACTGTGGGCAGGAAGAAAAAGAGAAAAAAGTTAGGAAGAAGGAATGTATGTTTAGGTTAACTGCACTTCAGGGGAGAAGTGTGAACCAATTCAGATTTACAGCCCAGTTTTATGGCCTAAAGTTTGAAGACAAAAATCAGAATTTCTGACATTCACTTCTGGTACCCATCGTGTTAACAAGGCATCTGCTGACGTCTCTCTGGACGCAAAGTTACATATCACTCAATGGCTCCCCAGGCATTCCTGTTCAAGCCTTATCACGTATCCTCATTGCCACAGGAGATTAAGCATCTTGCTCTTGTTTAATTTAAGAGGCGCCTCTGCAGGGTCAGTATTTAGTTGAGTGGCTGGGCCTAATGGACTTCGTACTGATAAGGCTGAACTGCAGAGCCAAAATGGCGGCTTAAGCAGTTCTTTCATTCTAGCAGACCCACATATCCTCCTTTTTTATTTTATTTTAAGGAGAGAAAGACGGGGGGAAGGCAGAAGGGGTGGAGATCTTGGCTGATGAAGCACCAGGCGAGGAGCCTTCATTGCTCGTGTTTTCCTCCTTTCACCCAGTAAATAACATGAGCATCCTATTAGAAAAAGAACAGCAAGAAAAATAATATATGGTAATTGCAGAAGTGATTGTAGGGATATGCTAGTCAACCAGTTTTTAGGATTAGCGAGGGACGAAAAGGCAAAAAAGGTCATTAATGGTTTCTTGAGATGTCTGCTTTTTAAACTGGTCCAGGTGATTAGATAAGCGATATTGTAAATCATCAATAGATGGGGCCAGTGGGGAGCTAAAAGCTTGTAACAATTCCTTTTGGTGAAAGGACCAGGAATATGATGTTAAATTTTCTGCCGTATAATTAGACACACAGCCAAGCATATCCGGAATCGCACTTTCAAAGAGCAGGAGTCCAGAAGGCTTGTTGATGCTCACCGAGCCATAGCGCTGCAAATTCAAGAGCATTTAATCTAGTAAAAATTTGTTGAGCCATGCTAACCTGCTCCATCAAGTCCTGAGGATCATCATTTATATATTGATGTGCCTCACTGGCAGTTTGTAATGACGTAGCCAGTGCAGTGGATGCCTTTGCTGTAGTAGTAGCCAAAGAAACTAAAGAGATGATTCCAGTAATTAGGATGCCTAAAAAACAGCGTATGCAGCGGGCTTGGCTTAAAGCCTCAACTCCAGTCCACTCTTCTGATCATTTTTCTTAAACAAGGAGAAGTGAAAACACATGAATTGTGGCTTCTGTGAATGTCCCATTCATGTCCGCCTCACTGTGTTATGCTGGATGGTGAGTACATTTCTTACCTACATGAGGAAGATAATTATATTTGGAAAAAGACATAAAATCTAATCCCTCACAAGAGGTCTGCTGGCGCCATGTGGGTAGCTCCCTGGCGGGCCGGGGATCGAACTCATGCTGCAAAGGCTGTGGATTGCTTCACAGTGCGGTGCTTAACCCCTTGCGCCACCAGGGAGGCCCCATGTCATGAAATTTAAATACTGCATCTATGTGTGTGTTTATCTGTTTATGTACTAGATACCTACATAGCTATGCTTTAACACAAAGGGAAGAAAAGCCTTTCCTCAGTCTGCGAGGTCCAGTTCTCACCTCTTCAGGCAGCTCTCGCCATCCCCGAAGACATATCAATGACAGGACATGTAGGATTGGAAGGAGGTACAATGGGGGTCTATATTCCTTGCAGCACCCCAAGCAAGTGAGGAAGGGCAGACACATGGGCCTAAAGAAAAAACCCACGTTAAGCCAGAGACATCTTGGAGGCAGAATGGGCCAGTGGCAGGAAAAGCAACCAGCAGGACTAGGAAGTGCCAAGGGAGTGGCCCCGCAAGGGAGATGCACAGCCGTGTCCGCCTGGATCTCCAGAGGGCGGGTCCACTAAAGTAGGCAGCACCCAGGGACAGGTGGTGAGACTCATCCAGATGGTGAGTCTCAAGTGAGTAGCCTGAAAAAAGCTATCACTGTTAAATACATGAACTTTCTGAATATATACACACACAATTGTGGGGGAAGGCAATATTAAATTTTTATTAATATTTGAACAAAACCACCATAATTGTTCAGGTTTAATTTAGGAGCAAATTTGGTTAACATCATTGCCAGGAGTTCACAATTTGAGGCTAAGGTGCTGATTAATGTAATATGGCTATCAATTTAATATAAATGAAGTTTTTTAAGGCTAAAAGCAGTCTGATCTCTTAAAGAAAAATATAACTGACCTACACTTCTGTATTTAGTACTATAAGTACACTTCAGCACAACAGTCAAAGGGGAAGATCTTAATTGAAGATCAGAAAGAAGCACCACTATTTTCTTTTATAACATGTAAGACTTAGTCATTAACATGCTAGTAAGAATAAGGCAAAGAATGTGTCAAGCGCTGGCATCTATGAAGTGCAGTGAGGTGGCTGCGGGACGCGTGCGGTGGTGGCAGGCAAGCAGCGGGTGTTCAGTCATCTTCTCCTCCACAGAGCAGCAGGAGAGTTTTCTTATAATCCCCAGAAGTATCACCCTGAAACCAAAGGAATCCCATTAGCCTCCATGACTCCCAAAAACCACAGCAATGAAAAACTGAGAAATGTCTGGTAACACATTTTATGATGTGACACTGCTCCCAAGTTCTGCATGACTTCACTGTCAGGGATGTCACACAGGGATTTCCCCACCAGTGAGCTTCTGTTTAACTCTCTAGCTTTCCCCTGAAAGACACTATCTCCCTCTAACAGTGACGCATGTGTTCCCTCTAGGGACACACAACAGGGGAGCTTTACAACTGCCTTCGGGGGCCTCCCTTGCAGTGCAGGGGTTAAAAACACAGCGCTATCAAGTGATCGCCAGCCACTGAGGCACAAGTTTGATCCCTAACCGAGGGCAGGGGGAGGGGGGCCCCCGCTGCGGCAGCCACGACTGCTCCGCTCAGAGACAGAGGCAGGACGTGCTGTGGCCCTCCTCTGCCCAACCCCCACAGTTGTGTCTACACCGGGGCTTCAGGTGCCTGGTGAGCGCATGCGAGAGCTCGCAGGAGCCGGGAGCCCAGCCACAGCACACACACAGCGAGCTCGAGCTCGAGGCCCGCTCAACCGAAGCCTGTCTGTTCACAGCCCACATCAAAAGGAGCAGATGAGGGAGGGGAGGGAATGGAGGGGAGAAGACAGGAGGGAGGAGGGGTCCAGCATCACAGCAGAACTCTGCGCCCCGCTAAGGCTCTTTCCTGAGGCCTCATGGCCTCTCCCCGGAGCTGTGGCCCAACACCAGAGAGGAAGCGAGCCCAGGCGGGAAGGAAGGAGAGACTTGAGAGCAAAGAGCAGGGGCTGCAGGAGACAGCGGGACCCATCAGGAGGGAAAGAACACGCACGGTGTTGTGGAGCTGGGTTTGCTGGGCCGATGGCTGAACAAGACACCGCCCCCAAGAGCCAGCCTCTGCCTGGCAGCCCCTCGGGGACACGCAGCTCTGGCGCACACCCTGACCTGGGGCTGGGCCCTCCCCGGCGTGTGGTCTGCCGGGGATTTCCAGACAATTTCACGAAAGGTGCCGTTCATTACCTTGATCATGGAGTGAAGAGAGGTGGCAAAATTCTTCCTAAATTCCTTCCTGATGTTAAACAGGTCAATCTCACTCCTGGAAACCATGACTCTGATGAGGGTGTGATCGTCCGTCCCAGCTCCCTTTAAAAAAACAGAAAAAGGAGCGGGCACGCGGTTTGAAAATGTCACATGTTACGTCAGACTCCTCCGAGTTAGGATGAATTGATAAAGTAGGACAATTCAGTACAACTGAACTGTGTGTTTTAAGGAGGGAAAACCCCACAATCCATCGTCTACGACATCGTCACCCCGGAGAGATCCATTGTGCACAAAGCGGACTCAAGGTACACACTCACCTTCATAGCGTAGTAGAGAGTTTCTGCAAGGTAGGCAGGCACACTTCGAATGGATTTCACTAAGAGCAAATAATATGATTATCAGATGCTATTGTGATAGGAAAAGGACGAGGCAGCTACAACTCCCAAGCTGCCTCATGCTTATCGCTCTGCTGATTCCAAGGTGTAAGAGGAACACGGCTGAAGGGCTGCTCCTTGGCAAGCTGACCTGGTCTGCTGCTCACCAAGCATCACCTCAGACACTCACCTGAGTTTCCTTGGAGTTCTGAGTTCTACACAGTAAGGCACAGAGGACAAGACACTGGCTTCTCAGTGCCCTTTTGTTTCCGAGCACACTGGCAGCCTGGGTTATAAGCCACGGCCTTCTTCATTTCCAGTCAATGATACAAATAAGTGCAAGGTTTTATCCCAAGACATTCAAGCCAGCGATACATGATTACCTCCATCTAACCCATGATCGTCTTCCTGCAATCTTAATGTGGCTCCCTCCTCTTTAATATCCACGGTCCACAAAGGGCAGTGCGAGACGTGCCCATTCCAATGGAAACACCCTGACAAACTGGTGACAGAAAGGAGTATCTTCCCGGAACATGGACATAGCTATTGTATGTTAGGGGCACTCAGACCTCAGCCTGCTTAGCTTCAGAGACCTAGCGCACATAAAGTCTTTGAACTGCAAAGATTTCTCTTGTGCCCTCTTTTCTAGTACTTAAGGAAAACAGCCCCCGTCACCGCAGAGGTCACACTGATGTTGGAAGGCTCCCTGAAAGTTGTTCTATTAACGTTATGAACTGCAGACTCAAGTGAAAAGCTTGAGTTGATTCGTGGATGTTTTCAGCTGATTTCCACAACATGCACACCATGAAAGCTCAACACCGGACATTGGAACAAACAGCACAGGAGGTTCAGCCTAAACACCCGGACACAGTGGCCACGAGGCTGTCCACACAACAGCACGTGGATTACCCTGGGCTCTGGAGAACATACCACCACAGTAACCCACACACTCAGCTCTCCAGCTACAACAGATTACTCTGAACATTGGCTGTAATAAAATTCTAAATTATTTAATCTAAAATAAAATGATCACCACAAATTCCATTACATCAAAGATAATTTTTCTAAATCAGATGCAAATTTCTCAGACTCCCTCAAAGCTGTAAGGACAGTACTCAAAAGAATTCTAAAATTAACATGCACAAGCCTCTGAGACAATACCCACAATCAGACTCATAATAGAAATATTTCTAGTGCAGCTTCAAAAATAACTTTTAAACATTTGTATTAGTATTTTCATAGGATTACTTGAGCTCACCCAATAACATGTATTTCCAACATAAAAACAGATTTTGAATTAGAAATTTGTTGGAGTTTACACCACCCAAATATCACAAAAGCTCTTGTATTCATGGCTGGATTCAGACACAGCTCCAGTGGATTAAAGCATGTTAGCTCTCAACACCGTTAACTTTACACAGATGATAAAATTACCTACCAACAGCAAGGAGAAGTTGCTCCAAATTACCAGAAGTCTCCCGGTCAATGGTTTCCTCAATTTGAAATCCTGATATTGTCATGTACTTGTCAAACACTGTAAAATAGTGAATGAACTCTTAGCCACACGGGACCACGCTCCTCAGGAAGCAGCATTCCTGTGGATCTGGCGTCGTCCTATGAAACACCCCCGCCCCACCCCATTCCTTGCTGATGGGTGCTGACCTCCCTCAGAGCATCAACGCCCATGTCCTGAACAAGGATCATAAATGTTCTTGTTCTCGTTTCTCTTGACTAGTTACAACCAATGAAACCTGAATGTAAATTTCATGAAGAGGATTCTGAGAAATTTTCTCTTTCCCTATAGGAAGAGATACGTAAACTAATTCACCCCTTTCTTTTCTTCTTACTGTGAAGTGGCTGATACCTTTGCAGTGACAGCAGCCATCTTGTACACCGAGGACAGTGGAGCAGAAAATGGAAAGAGCCCAGGTACTGCCCAATTAGCCAAGGAACCCTACCCGACAGATGGATCCAACTTTTAAAGCCACTGATAGCAGTTTTCGTTTTCTTTTTTTTTTTTTTTTGTGCGTGTGTAGACAAACTGGGGTGCAGGCCAGAGGTACGGGGGGAGAAAGGACTCCCCAGAGACAGAGCGGGGAGCAGAACAGGTGGATCCACTGAAACCCACTGCTGAGGGGAGCAGCGGGGAGACAGGAGGGGTCAGCTGCACCATGTGGGTCAACTCCCTGGCCAGGATCACACTCTGGCCACAGTGGTGACAGCCTGAGACTGACCCCGCCCAGGCCACCAGGGGAGGCCCAATAGAATAGTTTTCTGTCACGTGCCGCTGGACTCACTCCCAGCTGACACCACAAGCACTGACCACTCTCCACAGATGAGGACGTGGCCACCACTGACTAGGAGGACCCGGCCTCAGCTCGGTGAGTGTGATTCTGAGAGTCACAGTTCAAGGATGGCCTCCTCTGTCACCCTCCGACAGTTCAGGGTGACCAAGTGTCTCTAGTTTTGTAAAAGCAACCACAGCAGCAGAGAGAAGTGAGGAATTTCACAAAGTCACCAGGAGAAAGAAATACAAAAAATGACCAGTGGTGCCTGTCACGCAACAGGCACTCGAGCAAAACTGCTCCTGTATTAACAGTGTTCCAAAATATGTGTTTTATATAGCTTTTTTCACTCACCCCTTCTCAAATGAGACACACTTCGTGTTCCAAAGATGGTGATAAACTTCTCTTCATCTGTCCCCCATTTAAGTTCTCCAGCTTGAAACAAAGCCTGTGAAAATTTCAACCACGTTAAATAAAATGTTCTCTCATCTCCCATTTCTTAATCACACTTGTGTTTTACTCCTTGAGTATTAATTCACCAAGTTCATCACCTTATACTTTGCTAACGCTTTCCACCCTGAAACTGGGCTCACCCATTTGGGGCGCCCTTGGAGCTTGCCTCAAGGGCGCCCTGTGGATGGCAGTCAAGGTAGCCAGGCCCGGCAGCAGCACCAGCTCCAACGCTAAGGTGACCTTCGGCCTTTCAGGAGCCAAGGGGCCGGGGTGCGGGCAGGAGGCGCTAGCCGCCTCACCACAGCCACGAGCACTCCCGCCTGGGGAAGGACTTGCCCTGAGCGAAGTCACTGTGTTTCCATTTTGCTTGCTCTGTAGTTATTCGCTGACATGATAAAAAGTAAACGCCATATTTTTTGCTTTCAACTAACATTCAGCCAATGGTAGCAACAAACAGTTGTTACATTTCTAAAGGATCACAATAAATGTTAAAAGGGTTTGGGTACAGCACATGCCTGGGACACAGAAGCACCCAGTGTTCCCCCAAAGTGGGAGGACATGCATTCTCCAGCACTCAGATCATCACAGTAAAAATCAACAAAGTGAAAAGGGAGTCCACTTATCGAGATCTGTATAACTCATTAAACCCGAAGACTCACTCTTGGAAGTGTCCAGAAAGGCACACCCCGTCCGGCTGTGCTTTGTTTAACCACGCCTCAGATGCAGTGTTTTAGAAGCGGAAGGTGTGTGGCCCCCTGCCTGGCACAGGGCCAGCAGCACCACCTCCCTGAAGTGTGTGCTCACCTCACCCCGGCCACACTTGATGTGTGCACGCTGGTTTTGGACACAGTGCTGTTGCACACTTAACAGACCACAGGCGCATGTCAACGACTTCACATGCACCAGGAAACAGAAAGAGTAGCGGCTCACTTTACCGCAGTGAGTGTTACTGTGCTGATCTGGAAACAAACACTAAGCGCAGGCAGCGACGATGTGTTTCCCTCACAGCCAGGCAAGCACACAAGGAAGGCAAGGCCCGTGAGCACCGCTGAGCCGCTCCTTGGAGCTGGCCACAGGCTCCGATGCAAACCAAATAGAGAGGAGGGGTCAGAGCACGTGTTTAGATGCTTAAGAACACCGATTATGATGAAAACATCCATTTTTTTTTTTATTTGCAGGGAATTTTTTTAAATGCAACTTTATAGTGAATTTTGAAGTTAGAAATTTTAATGTTAAAAATAAATATCAGGCCTCCCTGGTGGTGCAAGGGGTTAAGCACCACACTGTGAAGCTGTCCGCAGCCTCCGCAGCACAAGTTCAATCCCCAGCCAGGGAGCAACCCACAGGGTGCAGCAGACCTCTCCTGTCTCCCCGCTGCTCCCCTCAGCAGTGTTTTCAGTGGATCCACCTGTTCTGCTCCCCACTCTTGTCTCTGGTGAGTCCTCTCACCACCACCACCACCCCGTATCTCTGGCCTGTACCCCAGTTGTATGCATAAATGAATCTTTAAAAATATCTCTTCTGATGCAATATCAAATCTACCACCTTCTTCAGGTAGTGCAATGATATCTAAAAGTTTTGTTTTGTCTTGTTTTACCCTAAGAAGCTCCTTTCTTGTTAAGGAAGACGCCCAGCACTCATAATAGAGCTGTTCTGAGGATGGATGGGGGCGCCCCTCCCCCCCCCCGGCCTCCAAGGGGTCACAAGTGACCTCACAGCACCTCTAGTTCAGCACAAAATACAGAGGTTTGGGAACCCAAAAAACCTGGCCCTTGGCCCTATCTGCGCAATGTTAGACAAGCTTCTGGTCTCTTCTGGCCTCAGGGCGCATGGTCCTGTGGTGTCCTTAGTGCAGACCATGGGACTCGGCACGGCGCGCAATGCACAGAGTCAGCAGCAGCAGGTTTCTTTCTCCTTCCTGGAGAACTTCGCCCCAAAGACAGCACAGCAGGGACTTGCAGGAGCAGAGGTGAAATCAGTCTGACACATGAGAAAGGTTAAGAGGTACAGTGCATTATCTGCAGAATGTCCGAGTCACTGTGGCTTATCGAGTCCTGCAACGTGAGGAATCCTCTTAGCGCCAGGTGTCACAGAGAAAAAATGTCAAGAGCTTAGGAAAGGGCCCTTCAGTGTCTCAGATACTGCCCTGAGGACATTTTTGGGCCCTGTGGGTGAGCGCCCAGCTGTCCCCACTGCAGCTCGGGCTGTCCATAGTGAGGCAGGAGGGGCTGCTGCAAGTTGCTGAATCGGTTAATAATCCCGTTTCAAAGGAACCCAGGCGGGTGCCGGTGTGGCTGCCATTCAGGCCCTGGTCACTCAGCAGCTCAGGAACGCCTGGACTCTACCCAAGGGACACTCTCAAGACAGGCAGGAGGCAGCTTCCAGGGGTCCCAGCCGCCCTGCGGGGCTCTGAGGCTACGTCAGCTGCGCGACAGGCAAGCGATGGCCCTGCCTCACATGGGCCCAGGGCACAGCGATACAGAGGTTTGGGAGCCTCCCCGCAGCACTGCCCGCCACGCCACGGTCCCGCCGGAAGGGGCCGCTGCCCGCTGCCAGTGCCTCACACGTCCACCCTAGACCCCGCATTCGACACAGACCTGAGCCCCCCGGAGCCTGACCCCGCGCCGTCACCCACAGACCCATGAGGAACAACGGCCTGAAGCACCCTCACCCCGGAATCACAAGGGGGGCTGCTGCAGCACTTGTGCCTCCGGGAGGCAGAGCCAGCCAGGTCTGCGCGTCTGCAGACATTTGATGCGGAGGGAGCGGGAGGCGCTGACAGGCCAGAACCTTTTCGGCTCAGCCAAGAGAAGGGCGTTAGGTTCAGACAGGCCCCGCTGGGCTCTGGCTGTTTCCTCTAATTCCTGAGCCTCGGTCTCCTTCTCTGTACAAGGGACAGTGTCCCCGGCCTGAGAGGGACACACAATGCTTCACCAGCTGCTGACCGGGCACCACTGTCTGCTAGAAGCCAAGGACATGAGCCGAGCCCACAGCACAGGGCTCCCGGGGGCAGGCGGGGACAGGGCCAACTTCCACAGATGCCACAAGGGCTGTGGCAGGCCTGGGAGGCCCCAGTATTCCCTGGGTGGACCCTAACACACTCCTGGGGGGCCAGGCAGGGCTCCCTAGAAAGTGGCTCATCTGAGCACTGACCCCTGACCATGAGTCGGTGAACGGGGAGAGGAGAGAGGCAGACTGTCAAGGACAGGCCAGAGGCCTCAGAAGCAGGGGCCAGACGCAAGAGTCAGGAAAACTGCGTTCAGAGGCTCGGGCTGTGTCCTGAGGACGGCGGGAAAATTGGAAGGCCGAGGAGGGGCTGCCCTCTGTGAGCCGCGGGTGGGGGGCTGCGGACACCTCAGGCGCCCGGTCCCTCCCTCTCCTCTCCCCAGTGAGGTCGAGACAGGAAGATCTGGGTCCACCCACCCAGGGCCCTCCTTGCTCTCCAGGTACCATCAGACCCCACGTCCAGCCTCAGAAAGGACGGTCCACGGATGAGTGAGCCTGGCCTGCCCTGTCCAGCCGCGGCGGCCAGCAGTCCAGGACTGGTGTTTTGCGGACACAGGTGACCAGAGAGACAGGCTATGGGGTGTGGCTCTCCCCTTATTACCAATTTCACATTTTCCAGTTTCAGGTTTCAAATTTCCTGACTCAATTCCTCTCCTTGATCACTTATGGAGCCTACAGACACAACACGGAACTTAAGTCACTTAAATGCATTTTATCTGTGTGTCACCATGAAGCAGCTGACAAAAGAACAATCTTACTTAGAGCTTCATCAGAGGAGTGGGGAGAATTTCCCAATACTACAACAACTTGTCATCTACTATATAATAAAACACCTTTAATCACCGAAATATCCTTTCTTCTTTCTCTTTTCCTGCCAACACACCTAACATGTCTTTTTGAATTAACACCTAAGGTTTTTTGGTAAAATTCCATGTTTTGTGATTGCTGCACAACTGGAAAAAAATAGCCTATCTGGATGGGACTCACTCTTTGTATGCAATTTATTTCACTTCAACTTTGGAATATTTTATTGCCAGATGAAAATGAGAAAACTATACTTGCACGGGATTAGCAATTTGGTAGTGGCCCATAAATAAGATGACTTGTACATGCTCTTACAGTTCTTATTAAAGTGGATTCTTTTCTCATTTATATGCCATAACAAAAGCCATCACGTTACGTGTCACGCACCTGAGCATCTTGTTCAACCTGAGCTTCATCCACTGCAACGTCAGGGTCTCTGTTGGCCTAAAATAGGAAATACGTCACGACACAGATTCCGCAAGTGTTCTCATGCAGAGGAGACACGGCCCTACCTGAGGGTGCAGAGAGCTCTTCTCTTCGGAAGCACATGCTTTTATAAAGTTCCCAACAATTCTACAATTTCATTTTATCACAAAGCACTGTGTAAACCAATCTGACCCTGTTAATTTGAAATTCAATTTAAAAAAGAGGACACTGATATAATAAAAACCCCCACGAGCTGGCGATTAAGTGTTTAGGTCAGATATTCCAAAGCACAAACCCAGCAGCACGGCCAGAAGCGAGCGTCAGAAATTACTGAGAAGGTTTTAAGAGGCCATAAAAGCCTTCCCGGTGGTGCAGTGGGTTGGACATGAACACAGCACTGTGAAGCTGTCCACAGCCTCTGCAGTGCAGGTTCAATTCCTGGCCGGTCAGGGAGCTACTCACATGGCGCCGCAGACCTCTCCTGTCTCCCGGCTGCTCCCCTCAGCAGTGTGTTCAGTCCGTCTGCCTGTTCTGCTCCCTACTCTGTCGCTGGTGAATCCTCTCACCCTCCCGCACCTCTGGCCTGTACCCCAGCTCTTGCATAAATAAAATAAATCTTTAAAAAAAATGAAAGAGGCCTCAGGTCACCATGTACTGACCAGTTAGGCTTCAGATGTCCTCCTCAGACTGTCAACAGTCCCGCCCAGTACCTGCAGGAGAACCACCAGCATCCTCTGGTAGTAGCCTGAAGTGTCGCCCACCACGTCATCTTCCAGGCTGGAGCCATATTCTGCAACAGAGTAATTTCAGACTTATGTACAGCTTCTTCTCAACCAGAAAAAATACATCCTTCCCCATTAATCTACTGGAGAAGACATAAAGGAAGAGACACTTGGTGAGCACAGACGTCCTCTCTGAGGGAGCGCCCCGGAGACTGAAGGCAAATGCTTCAGTGTGTGGTCGGCGCAGAACTAATCGGTCTCCAAAAGCACCTGTGTGCAGTCTACAACACGACTCGGCCGCTCAGAAGGGCTCTCCTGACGCAGCCAGGAACCTGCGGACCAGGACGCGCAGCGCAGCTCTAAGGACAAGCTGTGCTTTCTTTCTAACGCCTAACATTGGTCTCCAGGTCTCCCTTCCGCTGGTATTTTGAGTTTTCCTTCTGAGGATGCAGCTCCTTCCCCTGGAGGACAATTCGCTCTGAGGGACAGTTGCGATCCTTTAAACAAGCCCCCAATCTCACCTCCACCTCCTCCACTGGAGGGAGGCCCAGGACGGGAGGCCTGGGGTCCACGGGGCCCACAGGCTCTTCCCCCCGATGCTCAAGCTGTTAGGCAGGGAAGGACGGGAAGTGCTGCTCCCAGACATCTGCATATGCAGATACGCAGTCTTGGCCGGAAAGCAGACAAACCTTTACAGCCTGGAACTTCTGTTTTAAACCGTGGTGGTGCAGGGGATAGCCTCAGCACTAAGAAGCTATCCACAGCCACTGCGGCCTGAGTTCCACTCCCGGCCCACAGGGCACAGCAGACCCCTCCTGTCTCCCTGCTGCCCCCTCATAAGTATGTTTCAGTGGATCTACCTGTTCTGCTTCCCACTCTGTCTCTGGTGAATCCTCTCACCCACCGCACCTCTGGCCTGTACCCCGGCTCTTATATGCATAAATAAATCTTTAAAAAAATAATTTAAAGTAGAAATTTAGAAGGGTCACACACTTATTTCAGCCACTTCCTCCCTCACACCTGTATAAAATTCACATGGTCCTTTCAAATGTGTCTCCCTTCTTGGACTTGCCCTCACACAGCAACACATGAGGCTGGGCCCCAGGGCCACTCTCACCTCCCTGATCAGAGTGGCCCAGTCCCCCTCAACTGTCCCCTCCACATGCCACATCCACTCAGGGACTCAGAAGGTGTTTGAATCAAGTCCAAACATCCAAGCCAGTCACACAGGCACGTGGGTAACAGCCTACAGCTAGGCTGTTTCGATTTCTCTCCCACAACAGACCTGCACGCATCGTCCACTGTGGCCAGGCTGTCTCCGCCCTCCACACCCTCTTGTCAGCCCAGCCTCTGTGCCCCGATGCCAAAGTACCCGCTTCCTCCATCGGGACCCTGCCAGCCTGGAGACCTGCTCAGGGCCTGGTTGCCCCGCAGAGCCCCCCAACAACAGCCCCAAGGAGCTCACACACCACAGCCATTCTCAGGTGAGTCATTTCTGGTATTCCATCTCAGAAACATCGTTAAAGACTCATGCCCCAGAACAAAGAAAATGAAGGAAAAGATAAACAGCTGCAACTACATCAAACTAACAAGCTCAAGAGACAGCCACCAGGACAAGCGAGATCGCATACCGGGAGAAAACATCTGCACTTCACAGTACCAATAAGGGACTGATACCAAACATCTACAAAGAGCTCACACAACTCAACAAAAACAAAATAAAGAATCCTGTCAAAAAGTCGGCAGTAGAGCTAAAAAGACACTTCTCCAAAGAGGATGGAGATGGCCAACAGGCACATGAAAAAATGTTCCACGTCACTTACCATCAGGGAAACGCAAATCAAAACCAGTGAGACAGCACCTCACACCAGTGAGAACAGCCCACATTAAAAAACAACAAATGCTGGTAAGGACGTGGAGAAAAAGGAAACTCTTACACTGCTGGGTGCAGACTGGTCCAGCCACGATGGAAAGCTGTGTGGCAGACCCTCAGATTACAAAAAATGGAGCCACCATATGACCCAGCAATTCCACTCCTAGGGATCTACCCAAAGGACACAAAAACATTAATTCAAAAGGACACCTGCACCCCTGTGTTCATGGCAGCACTATTTACAATAGCTGATATGGAAACAACCTAAATGCCCAAAAACAGATGAGTGGGTCAAGAAGACGTGGCCTTTGTACATGGTGGAACATGACTCAGCCATCAAGAGACACTCGCGCCACTCGCAGCAACATGGAAGGCGCTGGAAGGGATCATGCTCAGTGTGATAAGCCAGAGGGAAAAGAGAGGTATCACGTGGTTTCTTACAGAGAAGGAACCACACAAGGGATCAGGAGGGAAAAGACAAACCTAGCAGGAAACTGTGAATGGAGACTCAGCAGGAGGGGGCGGAAAGGGATCAAAGCCTGAAAGAAGCGCACAGGGGACTACAGCAATGGCACGGCTGCCTCAGGGGTGGGGCTTTCATGGGGACCACACCTGAGAGGAGAAATCAAACACTGTACAAAAATGAACACCAATGTAAAATATGTAAATAATTATATTTTTTAAAAAGCATGTCTGGGGGGCCTCCCCGGTGGCGCAGCGGTTGAGCGCTGGGTTGCGAAGCTGCGCGCGGCCTCTGCGGCGCCGGTTCGATCCCCGGCTGCTCCCCGGCCACCAGAGGAGGGTCCCACATGGCGCGCAGACCTCTCCTGCCGCCCGCTGCTCCCCTCAGCAGTGTGCTTCGGTCCTTCTGCCTGCTCTGCTCCCCGCTCTGGCTCTGGTGAATTCTCTCGCCCTCCCGCGCTTCTGACTGTACCCAGTGCATGTATAAACAAAACAAACAAACCAGCAAACAAATAAATAAAGCATGCCTCTATAAAAAAAAAAAAAAAAAAGCATGTCTGGGGCCTCCCCGGTGGCGCAGCGGTTGAGCTCTGGGTTGCGAAGCTGCCCGCAGCCTCTGCGGCACTGGTTCGATCCCCGGCTGCTCCCCGGCCACCGGAGGAGGGTCCCACATGGCGCGCAGACCTCTCCTGCCGCCCGCTGCTCCCCTCAGCAGTGTCCTTTGGTCCTTCTGCCTGCTCTGCAACCCGCTCTGGCTCTGGTGAATTCTCTCACCCTCCCGTGCTTCTGACTGTACCCAGTGCATGTATAAACAAAAAACAAACAAACAAACAAATAAATAAATAACATGCCTCTATAAAAAAAAAATAAAAAAAATAAAAAGCATGTCTGGTATTTGACTTCGGTTGGATTCTACTTTACCTGTTGCAATTTTCCCAGGTCCTGCACCCTGAACAGACGCCGACAGATCCCTTGAGGACAGGAGCAGCGCCGCGTCTGTGTCAGCTGGCCTGGCAGCGCGCCCAAGGCATCCAGGGCCTCCCAGCCCAGGCCTGCCCTGGCCAGCCCTCCCCAGCCCTTGCCAGCAGCTCCCAGGCTCGCTCCTGACAGCCAACGCCCCGCCAGGAGAGGCCCAGGCACCCTCCACCTGCCTGGGCGCTGCGAAAAGCAGAATTTGCGCCGCAGGCCTCGCTCCGACCTGGCCGAGGGGACACGCACAGCAGATCCGGCCACCCAGCTGCGAGGTCTGGGTACCCACAAGGCTGACCCGGGCGCTGGGCCTCTGCCCACCGGTGTGTCTGCTGCGGAGCTCCAGCAGGAAAAGCACTCTCTGCCTTCACTTTTATTTCATGTTCTTGCTCCACTCACAGGCTATATTTCAAACTGAAATATGGACTTTTTTTTTTTTCCACAAAAAAAGAAAGGCACACCAAAAAGAAAAATCAAAATGCAGAGTACCCAAGCATTGCCATACCTGAGTAATGCACGTTCACACAAACACATTTTTCCCAACTCTGATTTGGAAAACGTTTCTTTTGCCAGACTCGAGACCATTAACTTCAAGTCATAAAAATGAGTTTTTTTAAGACAAAAAAACCACAAAGACCTTACAATTAATGTAAAAGAAAACCTATATATCCCTATACTAGTCACAAATCCTATAAAAAGAAAACTGGCTTGGGCCTCCCCGGTGGCGCAGCGGCTGAGCGCTGGGTTGCGAAGCTGCCCGCGGCCTCTGCGGCGCCAGTTCAATTCCCGGCTGCTCCCCGGCCACCGGAGGAGGGTCCCACATGGCGCAGACCTCTCCTGCCGCCCGCTGCTCCCCTCAGCAGTGTAGTTCGGTCCTTCTGCCTGCTCTGCTCCCCGCTCTGGTGAATTCTCTCACCCTCCCGCGCTTCTGACTATACCCAGTGCATGTATAAACAAACAAACAAATAAATAAAACATGCCTCTATAAAAAAAAAAGAAAAGAAAACTGGCTTGAATCAAAGCCCATCCAGCCAGCGGGAAGGGGGGGAGGGACAGAGCACACACCTTCTTCGTACACCTGCTTGATGGCTGCCAGCTCCTCCGGGGTCCTCGACGCAATGATTTCCGTCAGCACTTTCTCATCTGTCCCAGCACCCTGTTTGGAAATTGATTTTTAATAGAGAAACCATGTCAATAAAATTAAAAAAAGTTGTTTTCCTAGAATAGATATCACCCAAATTACATAACTACACAAATACTACCCAACACAACATTCACTTCTTTCTATACAAGTTCTATTATAGGCATCAGAAATTTCAAATTTTCTTTCCAAATAAAATCTATCTTTTCTGTCTAAAACAGTCCATTTACATGTATGTGCATACATAATATGCCTATAGCAGGTTACATAAATTTGTCATTTTATCAGTTTACTTCTATATAGTTTAAAACACAGCACTGAAGGATGAAATTTACAAGATTGGAATAGCAAAGGCGAAAACTTTACGTAAATCCACAGGGAGGAGCGAGGATGCTCACCATGCCCCCACAGGGCCCGCGCTGGCCGGGCCACCACCGCGCACCCGGGAGCAAGGTCAGGTGTCAGTCAGTGCAAAAGCAGTGGGCCTTGCTTTCTGAATTTTTGAAACTGTTACTTGCCTTTCCTTTTTCTGACTATAATAGTCATATCTAACACTAAATTACAAGATACAAGCTATGATGTTGCTGAGATCAATTTAAATTCATATTTTATAAATTTGTTTGTTTCTTTTTTTAACCCAAATCAAGTACTGGAAACTAGGTTTATGGCCAAATTCAGCTTCCCAGACATTCCAGAAACACTCCACAAACCTCCCCCCTCCCTTTTTCAATAACCTAAGATTTTATTGATTCCAAAGGGTCCCAACCTGATAAATTGCCCTCTCCACTCTGTAAGAATCTCTGCCCTATATCTTCTTTTGTTAATCTCATTTTGCCCATTCAAAATCTAACTGCTGTCAGCTGACCTACTCCAGGTTCAGCTGGAGTAGGGGCCCAGCCAGGGAAATATACACCAGTTACCCACTACCCATGAATTACAAGTTTACCATCCACTTCACTTTAGTGCTTAGCAGTGCGGGAAAGAGGGAAGAGTATCAGAAAGTCATTCTTATCTGAAAACTCTCTTTGAAGTTTTATTTTTAATCTAAAATGATTAACAATCGGGCCTCCCCTGGTGGCGCAGCGGTTGAGTGCTGGGCTGCGAAGCTGCCCGCAGCCTCTGCAGCACCAATTTGATCCCTGGCCACTGGCGAGGGTCCCACATGGCGCGACAGACTTCTCCTGTCTCACCCGCTGCTCCCCTCAGCAGTGTATTTCGTCAGTCTGCCTGTTCTGTTCCCCGCTCTGGCTCTGGTGAATTCTCTCACCCTCCCACGCTTCTGACTGTACCCAGTGCTTGTATGAATAAATAAATAAATCTTTATTAAAAAAAATAAAATAAACATTTGTTATTAAAAAAAACCCTTTAAAAAAATAAAATAAAATGATTAACAATATTATTGCTCCCTAATCAAGCAACTTTCTACTTTAAAAAATATCTAGGGCCTCCCCTGGTGGTGTAGCAGTTAAGCGCTGGGCTGCGACGCTGCCTGCAAGCGCCGTTCAATCCCCGGATGCCAGCAAGGGTCTCATATGGCGCATAGACCTCTCCTGCCGCACCTGCTGCTCCCCTCAGCAGTGTATTTTGCCAGTCTGCCTATTCTGTTCCCCGCTCTGGCTCTGGTGAATTCTCTCACCCTCTCGCGCTTCTGACTGTACCCAGTGCTTGTATAAATAAATAAATAAATCTTTAAAAAAAAAAAAAGAAAAGAAAAGAAAAAGTATCTAACTGGTAACATTTCAAAAAACATGTCTCAAAACTAAGAAGGAAGAAAATAAACATAAAAGATTACAAAAACATTAAATTTTATAGGGCTGTTACTGAGTTAGCTATACAAAGAGATCAATGATAATTTTCTCCCTCTTTTTCTTACTGCCTCCTCCAGTTTGTCCTGCCAGAAACTCTCACTGGCACATCTTTTAAAACAGGAACACGACATGCCATGGTGTCCGCACGGGCCACTCCCTCACACCCCCACACCCCTCACCTTGAGGGCCTGCTTCAGCTCATAGGCGTCGTACAGCTCGGAGGGTTTCATCAGAGCCACGATTAATCTTTCAAATTTTCCAGTCAGTTCTGATTTCAGGTCATCCAGAAGATCCTAACTCCAGAAAACACAAATTTGTTGAGCAGGCAGAAATGTTAAGGACATTCTTCTCTAGCACGCTGCCCTCAGCTCTGCCCAGCCATGGACGCCATATGGCCGGACCCAGAGCCGGCGTCGCTGGCATCGAGGTTTCGTGTCTAAGAAGCCCTTCCCTCACCTTCAAGGGTCTAAGAACATGAGCACTTTAAGAGTAGATTAGAGATGCTTTATTTTTAAATACTGCACTGAGAAAGAAACACATACCTTCAAAAAAAATTTTTCCGAAATAATTAAGAACCGCTTCACACTTATAAAATCTATCCTGTCATGGCCAAATGTTGCACTTGTTTCTTTTCTCTCAGGACTTAATGACATTCTCATGCCTAGTGGGTTATGTTCATGGCACCCCAGCCTCAGCGGGACCCCGGCGCCTGAGGGCCCTCTGCCGGAGGGCCCCGCCTGTCAGGCTGGCGCTGGCCTAGACATTCTCTCCCACATTCTTTCATTGTTTCGCAATGAAAGCACAAACACATTTCAGAAAAACAAGAGTACATTTACATTCTTCACATAGGCACTCATTCATTCAGTGACAAATTTAATTTTAATAAAATAAGATTAATCAATAAATAAAACCTCATTTATTAAAATGCCACTGCAAGTGGAATCAAGTCTGTGACTGTGTCATGACAAACACACTGGTAGCATGTTTGCACCTAGAAAACAGACCACAGAAGACCCCGGGCACAGGAGAGCAGGAAGACCCCAGGGCTGCCAGCCCCTCAACCCCCAGACTGCCCCCGCCCCTGCCCCAGCACCCAGCATGGGTGAGCAGGCGCTGGCAGCTCTAAAGTAAGAGGTGCTGGACCAGCCAACGGGAGGAGCAGCAGGGAAGGACAATGATGAATTAAGTGGCACCAACAGAAGGAGATCCGCAGACTCAAAGCAGCCTTGAGACCAGCAGCTGCCCCTCCGCACCCTGGCGTGGCCTGCACTTACCCTGCCAAACAGCGTCTTAAAAGCCACAGCGATTTCCTGGCGCTGAGCGTTGCTCCGGGCCGTCAGCAGGGTCAGGATGCTGTCCTCGTCCGTTCCTGCAAGCGTCCATACCGCCTCAGTGCCCTCGCTCTCTTTATCTCACAATTTTCATTACATGATTTATTAAACTATAAAATTTACAATATGTAAAATGCTATGTTTCCAATATATATGGCCCCCTATTCCTGATGCATCATGAAATAGGAGGGAAAGAAAACACTCCTGACATTTTGAAAATTGAGGACACCCAGCTTGTCATGCAAGAAAACTCCAGAGGGAGACTGCGCCGGGTGGTGCAGGGACTGAGAGAGGACGGAGAAACAGACGTGTTTTGAGTTCTGACTCCTCAGGGCTAAAAATGCAGAGAAACACAAGCTGAAACAGGATGAGAAGGGCCGGGGGACAGGCCCATGAGCGCCCTCAAAGAGCAGGTTCTGGGAAGCTTCGGGGGGAGGCAACGCCCAAAGCAGCCTTGCTTCCTGAAGGAGGGGAACTTGCACAGGGGTGGGGGGTGCACAGAACAGCACAGGCTTGGGAACGGGCCAGCTGGGCAGCGGGACACAGCTTCTGCGAACAGATGGGCAGACGGCACAAAGCACATCAGGTAGGCCCAGTCCAGTCCGACAAGGCGGCAAAGCAGAAAGCCTGGCAGGACCAGAGAGCCTGGCTGGGCTGACCAGGGAATCCCACCGGGTGGTCAGGACAAAGACAGGTCAAAGGTCAAGTGCGTGTGGGGCCAGCACAGCAAGGTGCAGTGGGGGGAGGTGGGAGCCACTGGGGGCTGCTGAACAGCTGTGGGAGAGCCGGGAAGAGGAGACAGCGAGAGGAGCCGGCTGGGAGCTGACCGGGAGCCCATCGCTCCGGAAGGCCTGCGGCCTGCTGAGTGACCCCACAGGGGCACTGCACAGTCTCCAAGCCAAGGGGCTGGGGGGTCCCTGCTCGGCCCTTCAGAACAGTGACCCGCCAGTCGCAGCCTTTTAGCTTGTGCAAGTTTCCTTAGACCTTTCAAATCAAGATCTCTTAAAATTCATCTTAACGCGAAACACTGACCTGTTCTTCGGGTCACAGAAATGTCGTTTCCTATCTTTCAGAAGAAAAAGGAGGTTGAATTACCTAACCCTTTCATGGCGTTCCGCAGAGCTTCGGCATCGGCGCGCTCATCAAAGCCGGGGAAGTCGGACACGGTGCCTCTGCGAGCCTGGGCAGGAGACAGTGCTCAGGGGACAGGCCGTGTAGCTGCGCCCGCCGCCCAGCAGGTGGAGCCCTGAACGGCGCTGCCCTTCGGACAGCTGGGCAGCCGGGGGTGGAAGGCACTGCTTGAAGCCTGGACCAGGGACTCACTCAGCAGGGAGCTGCCCCGCAACACCGCATGGGCAGCCGCGCCCCCCCACCCCCCCACCCCCGCCTGGAGCTGCCGGGGAGGGGGGGCGGGGGTGGAAGGGGGGTGAGCCAAGCACCATGAGGGCTGCTGGCCCCAGCCTGGAGCTGCCGCCCCCCGAAATGCCACCCCCCCCAATGATGGAGGACAAGAATAGAAAAACTGAAAAGGAGGTGCACACAAGACCTGAAACCTGGCTCACAAAATGCCAAAGCTGGAGGTGGGGGGAGAAGGGTTTAGCACAGCCACAGAAACGACTGTGGAGACAAGATCCTTAGGTGACGGCACCCAGATCACAAAGCAGAAGACCCAAGCAGGGGTCAGACCAGCAGGGAGTGGCTGGGGGGGTGGGGGTGTATAAAGAAATAGAGATGTGGGTCCACTGTGGCATCTCCGGTCCTTTCAGAATCTCAGAGTTGTCCAAATCAGCAACTAAGGGAAGGCTGACAAGGAGTGACCCCTCCCTCCCAAACAGAAGAGGACGACATCAGTGCAGTCTCCGTCTGTCCACCTGTGACTGCAGGTGCTTCTTTTCCCCAGCTCTCTCCTCTGCAGGGCAGCAGCCTCTCCCAGCAAACCTGCCCTCTCGGGCGGCTCTTCCTGCCTGCTGGTGTCTATGCAAGTGTCCTTTATTCTTCTGTCCCTTTCCCCAATAAACCTATTCTTTAAATAAAACTGACGTCTCTGTCTCGGGGAGAAACTTGCCGGGAAACTCATCCTGTGCCGCTGAAAGGGGAGCTCTGGGGAAAACTTCCCAGAGTGAACCCAAGGACCCCGCACCCCAAACCCACTGACTCCAAAAAAAATGACAACAGAAACAGTACAAGGGCTGCCCGCACCCCACCTGGAACTGCTGGGGGTCCACCAAACACGAGGGCTGCCCCTGCCCCCACCTGGAGCTGCGGGGGGGGGGGGCTGTGGGGGGCCCCTGATACACTTCAAGAGCTTGGCCCCTGCTGGAGCTGTCGGGGAGCAGCCCCACAAAGACTCTGAGAGGTCCATGGAAGCACCTCCCACACCTCCATCTCACCTCTTCTCATGCCCCCTGAGCCGCTGGAAGCCCTGCCCTGCCGCTCCCCGCGCTGGGCTGTGGTCCGAGCTCTTCCTACTTCGCTTTTCATCTACCCTGCTTCCTCATATTTATTAGGGATTTTAAGGCAAAATTTGAAAAAATGTTGTATCTTGGGGGCTACAAGGGGACAAAAAGTCCCTGAATTCAGGAAAGACACATTAGATGGCATGATTTCTAACCCTTTCTGGGTCACCTTATTTTATCACCTCCACAGGGTCTGGAGGGGCTCAGAAGCCCGGCACCCCTTCCCTAGCCCTGCCGGGCGCCCTCCAGCCAGCTGCCCCCAGGCCACAGCCTCTTGCAACCAAAAAGTGAGGTGCAGTCAGTTCTGAGAGCAGCACTGGCAGTTAACCAGAGCCTGAGGGGAGGGAGTCCTGGAGGACTCAGTCCCACACTGTGAGACTCCCCAGTAGGGTCCAAATGGACACGAATTGAAGGACACACAGCCAGTGTCAGAGACCTGCTTGCTGGTGTGGGACAGCCCCTTCCGGTCAGGGCTGGGTTCTGGCCTTGAGAGATCCACCCACAGCCGCGAGGGTCCTCGTGTTCACGCTAACTGCACAGATGCCAACAGCCCGGTGAGTGCCCTTCCACCAGCTCTAACTCATGAGAAAACACATTATTGAGGAAATGAATATAAAAAAGATTCCAGCAGAACTTCCAGCCCAGGTGCAATGAACACTCCAACGCAGGCATAATCAAGTGTGCTTCCTTACAGCTCCTTCCCCTTCAAGATTCATGGCCGGGGCCTCAGCACGCTTATCTACAAGGTTGGGCAGCCGGCCAGCTGGTCTCTCCCCAAGGCCATCCCCAAATGCCTGCATCTGTCCCCCTTGCCTTGCCTCCTTGTCTGGGGACTTTGCCGCAAGTGGCTGTGCATCCTGAAAAATGATGCTATCCATGTGACAGCTATGGACACAGTTGTGTATAAAAGGAACCCTTGGTCTTTAAACCAGTGCTCAGACCTTACGGGGCTGCCCAGGTCTGGGACCTCATGCATGAGTCATAAAGCTTCTCCTGACCTCACCATTCCTGAAGCACCACTTGTTATTCCTCTGCCTGGGTAAAGGCTAGCATTTATTTCTACAACATAACGGGGGCCATGCGGGTAGCCCTGCACTGAGCTCCACAGGCTTGGCGCCGGGCCAGCAGCAGTAAGTTGGGGTAGAAGTGAGTGTCCTCAAATCAGACTGGGGCAGGAAAATTCCCTCTCCCACGTCAAACTGCATTTCTCTGGCTACGTGGACACCTTCGGTGCCATCAGCACCTCAGAGACAGCCCTGGAGACAAGGCACATTGATTCCTTCCCTCCAAGCCGTCTTCTGACCAGGCCAGGAGCTGTGCCTTCCTGGGAAACGTGGGCGAGTGCAGAGACCCGGCAAGAAGCAGTCAGCCCAGCCCTGGCGCCTGAGCACCTGAGGGACCAGGCCGGGTGGGGAGAAATCAGAAAACTTCCCCAAGTGTCCTGGAAGCTTCTGAGACTGCACCAGGCAGACTCAGGAGAGCTGCGAACCCCAGAGGGGATCCACAAGCGCGGGGGAGGGGTCAGGGTCCCTGACCCAGGACAGATGTGGGCCCTGAGCAGGCAGGAGGCTGGGCAGGACTGGGCTGATGGCAGCGGGGAGGAGCATGTCAGCTCTACCAGGGATGGGGGAAGACGGGTAACAAGCCCTAGCAGGGGAGTGTGACAAGAAGACTGACCCCACTGGAGAGCAGAGGGGAGAAGGGCGTGGCAGGGGAAGGGAGAGGAAAGGAGGGGAGAGAAGGGAGGGGAGGGGAGGGGAGGGGAGGGAAAGGGAGGGGGAGGGGAGGGGGAGGGGAGGGAGAGGGGAAGGAGAGGCGAGGAGGGGGAGGGAGGCAGGAATGGGCGGGGCACGGGGCCTTGGGGCGCCTGGGGGGTGCTGGCTGTGGCTTCAGGGCGGGGGTTGGGGGTCATGGCTGCGAGGGGGATGCCCAGGGGCCCGGGGAGTGGGGGAAGGCGGGGCCTCCAGCAGGCCCACCGGCAGCCAGGGGAGGGCAACCAGGGGAGGGGGCGTCCCGGGCAGGCGCCCCTGGGCCTGCAGAAGGAGCCCGGGAAGGGGCGTGTCCAGGCTCCGCACCGTGAGGGGAAGCCGTGGCCTCTCGCCCTTCCAGAGCTTTCCAGAAACCCGACACCACCGCATTCCTCCGACACCACCGCATTCCTCCCGCCTGAGTCACCACAGGGCGGGCCCTGGGGGGAGGGGGGGGCAGCTTCTCCGCCAGACGCTGCTGCAGGGTCCCCGGCTGGGCCCTCCCCGGCACCACCCCAGCAGCCGACTGGGGACCCAAGGCTTCCACAGACGCTCGGGCAGCCCCGGGCCGCGCCCCTCCCGCGCCTCCCCTCCAAGACGAGGGCCGGAAAGTAAGATGCATAAAATCAAACCAAAAAGACAACCAAAGGGCTGCTTTTCTAGACAAAGGCTTTTAAAACACACCCCCCCCCCAAGGATGACTACTATTAAAATTAAGGATGAGAAAACATTTGCCTGTTTGGAAGAAATGTAAAAGGCACAGAGAAGGGACCCTCCTCAGGTCAACGACATCAAGGTTAACCAAACACACACATTCCATGTAATACTAGCTAGGAGTCAGAGATCAAGGCCCAAACCTGCGAGATGGCAGCTGCCAGTTCTGGGGGCCACAGAAGCCCGGGGCCCCCGGGAGTGAGCAGGAGGGGCTCCCCCCCCACCCCAGTCAGAGCTCAGGCCTCCTGTGACCACGAGAGGTGAGTAAACAACAGTGAGAAAGAAATGAGATAAGCAAGAAAAGAGGCTAAGGTCAGTGTGACAGGATTGTGATTTGAGCTGCAAGTAAAATAAATATCAGGAAAAAACTAGAACCTCCAAGAGGACAAAAGGCAAGAACAGAGACAATGGGACCAGGGCTAAGATCTCAGCCCCAAGCCTTCTCCACCCTCAACCACATCTAGAAGCCAGCTTGCCGGGCCTCCCTGGTGGCTGAGAGGCCAAGTCTCAGGCTGTCGCCACCCAGGCCTGAGCTGGATCCCCAGCCAGGGAGCTGACCCCATGGCGCAGCAGACCTGGCCTGTCTCCCCGCTGCTCCCCTCAGCAGTGGATTTCAGTGGATCCGCCTGTTCTGCTCCCCACTTTGTCTCTGGTGAGTCCTCTCTCAACCCCCACCCCCACCCCCCGCTCCTCTGGCCTGTACCCCAGTTCTACTCAAAAATAATTTTTTTTAAAGATTTATTTATGCATACAAGAACTAGGGTAAAGGCCAGTGGTTCAAGGGTGAGAGGACTGACCAGAGAGAGCAGGGAGCAGAACAGGCAGACTGACTGAAACACACTGCTGAGGGGAGCAGCGAGGAGTCAGGAGAGGTCTGCTGCGCCATGTGGGTAGCTCCCTGGCTGGGGGATCAAACTTGTGCTGCAGTGGCTGCAGATAGCTTCAAAGGTTGCGTCTTAACCCCTTGTGCCACCAGGGAGGCCCATACTCGAAAATAATTTTTTAATTTTTTTTTTAAATGAGCAATTCTTAATCTTAAAAGATTTGGTAACTCTGACATTCTTAAGTTTCTAGTGAAACACTGTGCCTGATAATACCTTTATGAAATTCCTGCTGCCTCTGCCTGTAAACACCGACTCCACATAATGCTTACAAAATACAAGTTCCCAAAGGAAAAAAAAATACAAGTTCCCAGACCTGTTCTAGGAGGGGGACAGTGGTCAAACTCTAACTGACCAAGTTTCTAACAGGTACCTTTTCTTGCCAGAGCTTTATAGTGTCTCTAGCCTTACACTTGCTCAAGAAAAACAGGAACCAGGGCCTGAAGTTGCGAAATCTTATGAACCCATCCTAGAAGGATGGTGCAGACCATCAAGTGTCCAGCAGCAAGAGAAGTTCAGAACAGCGCACTGGGCTAGCAGGCCCCACAGCCTGCCCCACCCCGCCCCACATGACCCAGGCCCCGCCCCATGGCGACCCCTTCTCCGTCACAGCCTTTCCAAGCCTTTCCTGGGCAGGAGAAAGTCCTTGAGGCATGGTCCACCCTTTCCTCAGCCAGAGGGCTCTGAAATAAACCTGATTTCTTCCCACTAGCTCTTGTCTCAGTATTGGCTTTCCAGTGCTGAGCAGCTGGACCCAGAGTTGCGGCAGGATGTTACAAGTAACACCAAGTTCAGACTACCCCAAATCTAATTTTTAAAAATTTCATTATTTGAAAGACATTTAAGGACATAAAAGCCTTAAACTGGATTAACATGTATAAATAGATCATTCTTCTATGAATGTCCTTGATTTTCCAAAGAATATATTTCAAGAACTTTTACAAATTAAACCATCTAGAAGTAACTGAGCTGGAAACAATGGGACGAAAAACCTGTGTCAGCAGGTTAACCAATAAGACACAGGTCAGGACCAACTCTGGAACTCCAACCCAGTCAGACTGAGGAAGCAACCCTAAAATCTAAATAAAAAATTGTGGTTATATCATCAAAAGTTGGCTGTTGAAAAGAAAAGACGGATTTCAACAAAGGATCCAAAACACTGTACTACAGGTAATTTGGACAATTGTTAGCAGCTCTTCAGCCATTCTTGGTCCACACTTGAACTGCCTTGTACCCACATCTGACTCGGGAGACAATGTCACTGGTACAATAATCGAAACTCTAACAACCCCTGAACAACACGAGTACGGACTTCGTGGGGTCCATTTATACCCAAAACGCCATTTTTTTCTGTGGCATCCACATTCACTACTCCACCAAGCCAGGATGGTGGGTGCTGGCTGGCTGTGGGGAGCCGGGACCCCCACCTTTGGGGAACCACTGTGCACGTGGACTTGTAACTGTGCAGGGGTTGATGCCACTGAGGGTTGTGCTCCTGAGCCACCTGTAATTTATTAGTCATTCAGCACAGTTTATGCTAAAATAACATGGATGTTGTGGTTTTGACCCCCATAAATATAAAGCCATTCAAATTAGTGACTTACTGTCTTACTACAAAAAGTTAAATATTGTCCAAAAATTGTTTACATGCAGATACACTTATCATTTATATTTCTCCTGTACATCATGGAGAAAATAGTTAGCTAGTGTGTGCTGTCTGAGAAAGATGGACTTTCCTATCAGACTCCTCCTTCCAGTAGGCAGAATCCCACAAAAGCCAGCACTAACAGATGGGGGGGGGGTGCGGTGTGTGCAGGAGAGGGCAGCGGGCCAGGCCGCTCACCCCACAATGCGCAGCTCACCCCACAGACGCGCCTCTTTGCAGCATTTGCCCAACAGGAGAACATAAGACACTCTCATGTGGTCCCCATGATGTGTCAGTTTTATGCCATACACTGACATGATCAGGGTAAAATTAAACTGAAAACACTGAATCAACATAAATTATTATTTTTTTAAAGATTTATCCATTTATGCATACAAGAGCTGGGGTATAGGCCAGAGATGCGGGAGGGTGAGAGGATCCACCAGAGACAGAGCAGGGAACAGAACAGGCAGACTGATGAAACACACTGCTGAGGGGAGCAGCGGGCGAGACAGGGGAGGTCTGCTGTGCCATGTGGGTAGTTCCCTAGCCGGTCAGGGATCGAACTCAAGCTGCGGAGGCTGTGGATTGCTTCATAGTACAGTGCTTAACCCCTTGCGCCACAAGGGAGGCTCCAACATGAATTATATTAATTATAACAATGACTATTTTATTTATATATAAGATATTTATACAAATATACACAAGACTGTAAAATATCCCTAAAAGCACTTGTTTATATATTTTAAAACGTCAATGTTTCAAAGATCAATCAATGCCTTCTAGTTAAATTAACAAGATATCTAGTCATGCTCATGATACACATTTTAATTTTTCACTAAATAAGAAACATGAATAGTTAAAGATACATTAAATTGCCAGTATTTGCACCTCTGAGGCTCAGGCATCTGACCCATTAGGCTACAGATGACCCAAGTAGAGGCCCTGGCCCCACAGCCTCGAGTGGACAGCAGAACCACCCAGACCTAACAAGACGGACACCGCCCAGACTAACAAGAGGCCACTTCAGTTTTCCACAGTGACACCAGGGCCAGAGGGAGCGTCCACAGCAAGAGCACAGCTCCAGGGTGTGGACATCCTGCCCGCTGCTACATGTATGCATGAAAATGATAAAAATTTAATTTAATTTTAATAAAATGTTTACTCCCATGGTTTCCAAGAATGACTAATAACAAAGTCAATGCAAAATTCAAAATTGTAGGGGGGCCTCCCTGGTGGCCATCCCCGGCCAGGGAGGTGACCCACATGGCACAGCAGACCTCTCCTGTCTCCCCGCTGGGACCCTCAGCAGTGGATTTCACTCAATCCACCGGTTCTGCTCCCCGCTCTGTCTCTAATGAATCCTCTCACCCCCCCCACACACACATCCGGTCTGCACCCCAGCTCTTGTATGCATAAATAAATAAATCTTTAAAAAATACTTTAACATTATATGTGACTTTTATGCGAATAAATAGTTTTGATAGACAACAGTCCTGGTGCTGTAAGTGGTATAAAACATACATAATTTCGTAACAGAAGGCACCATTCGCCAAGGCTTGGCGTACACAAGGGCCTCGCTATGTGTCCATTCTTAAAATTATTAATGCCCGCCATTGAAACATTTTGTTCATTCATGCTGCCGGTTACCTGCATAATTGAAAGGAATTGATTGAAAATTGTCAGCCATCACTGGGTAAAAAAGGTTTCAGGAAGCAGCTGAATGAGCAAGAATAAAGAAGCTTATTCTTTGATACTTGCTAAATCCTCATTTCCTTCACCGCAGCAGCAAAACAAGGTAGAGAAACTACTACTGAAGAAAGAAGAGCTGTTTTCACACAAAAGCGTCCTTCACGGGAAGACTCCAGACTCCAGACCGAGGCTCCGCGTCCGTGTGGAACCGGCTCGCGGCCTCCTCAGGCCCGGCAGGAAGCGCGGGGGCCGGGGCGGGGGTCCGCCCGCCGGAGCCCGGGCCGCGGCGGGGCGGCGTCTGAGGCGCTCCACGGGCGTCTCCAGGGGGGCAGGGGCGACCCGCCCGCGAGACCCTCGGCGCCCCCCCGGCTCGCGGGTCTCGGGCCCCCGCGCGCCCCGCCAGCCCGGCTCAGCCCGCGGCCCGGGACCGCGGCGCCTCGCCCGACCCCGACCCCGACCCCGCCCGCCCCGGGCCCCGCGCGAGCCGCGGCGCGAGGGGGAGCCGCGCCGACCCCCCCCCCCCCGGCCCCGCCCCCCGCCCCGCGCGCGGGACCCTCGGCGAGAAACGGGCGCCGCCGCCACGGGGCCCGGGGAGGGCCGCGGCCCACGCCCGCCCCTCGCCCAGGGCGCCCCAAACGCCACGTCACCCGCCCGGCCGCGCGAGGAGGGGCGCCCGGGCCGGGCGGGGGGGCGGGGGCCGGGGCGCCCCGCCGCCGACACGTCGGGGCCTTACCTGGGCCATGGCGACCGCGGCAGGTCCGGGGCTGCAAGACAGACAGAGGCCGGGGTCCCCCACCGCCCGCCCCGCCCGCCGCCCCGGCCCGCCCCGCGCCCCCGCGCCCCCGCCCCCGGCGCCCCGGGACCCCCGGCCCGGCCCGGGACCCGCTCACGCCGACCCGGCGACCGCGACCCCCGCGCTCACCGCGGGCGGACGGCGGGACGCGGCGCAGCGGCTGGAGGCAGCGCCCGGGCGGCCCGGAATAGCGGACCGCGCGCCCCGCCCCGCCCGGCCCGGCCCCCCGGCCGCGCCCGCCCCGCCCCGCCCCGCCCGGCCTGGGGACCCCCCGCCCCGGCCTGGGGCGCGGCCCGGACGCGCGGGCGGAGCCGTGGGCGGGCCCCGCGGAGACCCG